AGAAGAGATGATTCAATTTTTACCCTGTCCAGGTAAAAATTCGATATTTTTGGCATACGAACGTTCCTGTATTTCCAGTTTCAACAGGTTCTGTCGGCGTTTGTGTGAATGAAAAGTAGGACTGGACCGGCTCCTTTTACACAACGCATAGCCGTCTACTGCAGACGCACACACACGCACTTGAGAATTGTTTCTAAGATTACTGCTTTCCATTAGGTTCACCATTCTGGTAGACAAGGCAGCACAAATCGAAGAGAGCTTATCCTAATTTGCAACCTTCTTGGATTAATTAGGCCTTCTCACAACTTCCTTCACAAAACACTCCATCAGATGGTAGGCTGAGAGGGGTAAGAAGCGTAATAGGAAGAGATAGAACAGTGAATTCGAGCATGAGGTACAAAGATGAGTTAGATTAGCTGATCGAGTTTTAGGTGACAGTTATGTAAATAAAATCGTTATTGAAAATTGTATTTAACGTGTTACTTTAACATAATTCTATTCACATGAATTGGATACTCTCGTGTCAAAATAGATGACTTTGGAAATTAAATTTCTTTCGCTATTGAAGAGAACGACACTTACTCTCTCTCTCTCTCTCTCACTTTCAACTTTTCTGTTCCATTTTATTATTTTTGAGGATCATTATTTAAAAAACATAAAATATGCTTTTAAGCTTTTAAGTTTGGAAGTCATTGAAAAAAGCATGATTGCACATTTAACTAGTTACAGCAACATTGTTTATATGATGTTGGAGCGAATTTGTCGTGTAGAAACATTTTCAGGAAATTTCGAGTGCTCCAAAAATGTAGTGCTTTACTTTGATGTATTACGTGTTTTTCTTTACATTGTTTACTATAAGAGATATTTTCCCAGAAATCTTGAAATTATAAGAATTTAAATTAACTCATAGTTCAGCCAGAAAGTGCTCTTCGAGTGATACAGGGGTATTGCAAATGAAAATTTATTTTGTCATTCAAGGCTGATTTCAATTTAATGACATTTTGCTCCAGTAATGTACACACTACTAACAACGTTTAAGTACAACAATTTTCTCAGACCTCCTAAATAAATTTATCATTAAGCCCTCAGTTGATTTCGACTTTCATAAGAGGGGGAGGTACATATTTAATAGCAGTTCATTAGCTGTCTTCTTGCTTCCCAGTATCTCTGGCTTTCCGTCCTTGTCTTTAGGGCTGGACATCGAATCAGGTGGGTCTTCTCCATTTCCTCCTGTAGGTTACATAAAGGGCATGTGGGTTCAGTGTATACTCCCAATCTGTGAAGATGTTTTGCCAAGCAATCGTGTCCGGTACGTAGTCTAAAGTCAGCAACGGCTTCGATTCCTGGCCAGTCGGGTATGTCGGAGAGTTCCACTGTCCACTGTTTCTCCTTTTTTTCGAGCTTTAATTTCGTTGCACCTTGAGGTATGGAATTCTCTCCTGATTAAGGCCTTCATTGTGTGGAAAGACATCGGCCGATCAATGCCTTGCAAAACTGTTGTCCCCTTCTTAGCAAGTGCATCAGCATACTCATTGCCTTTAATGCGCAATGTCCAGGACTCCATTGTAGGACTACTGTTTTGTTTTTATTCTCTCAGTAACCCGTTTGCGTTTTAAGGTGTCTTGGCCTATTTTCGTAGGTGCTGAAGAATTTGTCCATGGGAATGCGCAGTAGCTTCTCATACAGGATCAAGGCCTTCTCTTTGTTGTTTAGGCTTGAGTGTGCACAGTCCCATATACTACCGGCGCGGTGTCTCAGTACGTTCTGTCTAGAAGAGACTAGATCTGCTACTTTAGCGATGTGGCTTTGCCATGTTGGTTTTGTGTCAAACGTCATTCCGACATAAGTGATCTCGTTGGTTTTTTTTCTAGGAAAGTAACCTTGTACATCAAATGCGGGTTTATGTCCTTGTGGGCCAATAAAAATGTTCGGAATGCAATTTTGGCGGTGTTGATAATCATTTCATTATTTTCGCACCAGTTTGCTTAAATTTTAAGGTCATAACTTAGGACATCTTCCTTCCTCTCCTGAAAATGTTGCTCAGGGACGGAATACCATAGAACAAGATAACCTGCATAAAGTAAGCACTGGTTGCCCGTGATTTTCTGTACAGTTCAGCTATGTCATTGATGAAAACATTGAAAAGAGTGCAGCTTGTGACAGCTCCCTATGGTAGGCTTGTTTGTAATAGATTAAATTTGGACAGAGCGTCCGTATCTGACTTTACACGATCTTTGTCCAATGAATGCCATCTGACTTTACATGATCTTTGTCCAATGAATGCTTTTATTCAATGACTTTACATAATCGTCCAATGAATGCTTTTATCCAGTTTAGCACGTTATGCTTTATACCAATATTCACCAATATTATCCAATTTAGCATGTTATGCTTAATTCCAATCTTTGCCAATTTTCAAAGTAGCTTCTCTTTCCATACTAAGTCATATGCTGATTTGAAGAACTTCTCTTTCCATACTAAGTCATATGCTGATTTGAAATCAAGTCATATGCTGATTTGAAATGGATGAATACAGCCGTAAGAGTATTACTTGCATCTTTGATATGTTGGGAGACAGTGGCTACTTGTTGGTTAGTTAATCTTTGTGGCGTAAAATCTGTTTGTTCATTAATAAGAATATTGTTGGCCTCAAGGAACCAAGTCAGCCTCCTGTTAACCATTCTTTCCATAGGTAGTAAGTATAAGGTGTAACCCGGGAATCGGTAGTATTTGAGTTTGCCATTCGTAAGGTTGGCTTCCATGATTGTGGATATGTCTATGTCATAGGTATGCAGGATTTTCTGGATTTGGATCTTCTTGTCCTTTGACATCCCTCCAGCATTCCGCTGAAGGATCTCTTATAGCTTCGTTTCAGGCTGTTCATAATAATTTAAAGCCCTATGAGATTACGTTATCCAGGGTACACAACGTGGAGGTAAGTCTATTGCGCACCCTTCCCAAATAAAATAGAATATGCAAAATTAAATTGATTTGATGAATGAATTTCCGATTTTAGAAAGAAAAAACTGACTCCTAAATTCGAATGCGCTTGATCTCTTCTGATATTGGGAAATTTACATGCTTTGTGAATGGAAAAGTGACATTTTGAAGTCCAAGAGTGGGCTAAATTAATAGATAAAATATCACTATTTTCACAGAAATTTATGTTTACTGACCCATAACTAGCTCACTTCAGGTGAAAACAAAAGTAAAAATAGGTAAATCGTTTTCTTGTTAAGACACCTCCATTTTAATAACATAATATAGCGCTTGCACCAGTATAAACAGGAATTTTAGGACGGTTGGCCATTGATCAATGTCGATGGAGCGGTGGTTGTTTACTATTGGAGGGTGTGTCCGCCCTCCAAAGCCAAAATTACCCCCGTGATGTTGACGACTTTGCATAAACCGTTTTATTCGCTATACCCTCAATATGCCAGTGCCACGTGTGGGTGTTTGTGCCTGTCAGGTGTCTCTTCCAGACAGTTTAATCTAAGGTCATAAGTGAACGAAATTTCGGTATTTGTATGAAAATGAGCCGTTTTTTTTAATTCTTATCATTTGTGACTTTATTTTAATAATTATGATATTGTATTACTTCTTACACTCCAAATAAGTTCCCCAATTTATGGGAACACTGAATTCAAGGGGTATCCGAAAGACTTTGAAATCCCTTTCACTTGAAGCTACCGTAAACCCTACCATGTTGAACAGTATCTCTTTCGATATTTTCATTTATAAAGCCTTTATAATTACAGCGTCAATAGGCCTTGAAGTATTTGATAATTTATTGACTTCTATAATCAACTGAATGCATAGGGTGTGAAGCCAAACTGTCTCCAAAGGGGTTCAAATATAAGCAATTTAATTTTAAGGCCAAGGTGATTTGTCATTGGCAAAGAATTACCATTTTTACTTTGGTCAATATTTATGTACTTCATAACGGCTCACTCATACACATCTAGAGGGGCTAAATAGTCTATAATAACGGGGGGAGGGTGGTACCTATGATTTCACGCTATCTTTTATAAGTATTTTAACCTACTGTCTACTCCAAAATTTCTCCAGTATCCGTGTTCTTTAGGGCAGTCTTCTACCATTTTAATTTAAAAAGGTTGCATTCAAAACCTATTTCTCTATGGTAAAAAAACCTTGACGTGGATATTTATCTACGCCAAATGCGAAAGGCATCCACTTTTCTAACATATTTATACCGAATGGCAGGCGTCTTGATAGCTATCATTAGCCCTTTAGTTGACTTCAGGCTTCACAGAGGGGAAGGAACATCAAAATGAAAAATGTCGAGAGGGAGGAATAGAAGAGTGTCTCAAAGATATAAAGGAGACAGATACAATGCTAGAAAAAAGGTGAGGTGAGTACTGTGAAGTAGTCGAGTATGACATACAGTGGGGTGATGGTAGTTTGAAGTCAGAAGTCAACTGCCGGTTAATTGACTTTTTTGTCATATGAGTAAACGTTGCCCAGAGTGCACCACGTGGAGGTAAGTCTACTGCACACCCCATTTTATTAGAGATAAGTGAGCATTACCATTTGCGAATAAATTCAAGTTCTCGTCATTCTGAAATATAATGAGACTTTGCCAGCTAATAATCCTGGTGATTATTTGACTACTTTTTATTGCTGAGTGGATAGAAACGACATCCCTTGAAGGAATCTAAGTGATTATGCTTGCATCTCTCTTGTAACACTGCCAATTTGGCATATCTAATCTCACATATTCTCATTCAATTGAATGTGAGGTCATAGGTACATTTACTGGCACATGAATAGTAGAATTTGAACATTTCATTTTAAATGAAAATTATTACTATTTTTTTTGCAATACAATAATTTAAAGTTCACTCTTGAATCAGTTAGTAAATTGTAAGAAATTTAGGAAAGATTAAGAATTTCTATAAACATTGAAAACAAAGAGTATTCATCAATTGAGAGGACAAAAAATATTAGTGGGTCAATGTTTCATAAGAGTTTGCTGATTGTTAGGGCTTCGTAAAGAACTCGCCTGCACGAAAACGGCGCTTCAACTCCTCCCAACGCATTTGACGCTCAACTGAGACATTGGAGAGCACGGAGTGATTCTCATAAGCCCGACGGGAGAGATATGGCAACACTTCCTCAACTGCTCCAAAGGGAACGTACTTGTAGACTGAATAGCCAGCATTGCCTTTCAAAAGAATTTAAATTCGTTAATTACATTCATAAGATAATTTTCCCCGCAAAACATGGACACGCTAACTTAAAAGATTGAGCAGTTTAGGCAGCCAGTGTGGCCTAAAGAGAATACCAAACAGGCAGCCTTCGTGTGTGCGTACTCCGTTTCAGTCCGAGCACACACAATTCCACTGCTACAGTCACAACTTAGACTTGCAACACAGCTCTCCTACCCACCCCACCCATTCTCTTCGATTTCCCCTACATGCGAAATCGTCCAATCCTTCATTGGTTCATCATAGTTTTCATCCGACAAAGTTATATCTCTGCCAATGACACTTCTTCCACATTTTAAAACTAACTTCGTTCACCTTCCTAACCTTGCCCACTAATAAGATATCATGAATATAAAGAGAAGCTGATTAATTAATTGAACCACTCGATAAAGCAGAAAAAGACATTTCGTCAACAATAGTGTGATTCATTTCATTAATTTGATTTTTTATATTGTAATTAAAACATGCTAATTAAAATAAATAAAACTTACCAAGAGGAAAGCTGATATGATCACACATGCCTAGAAGCTGGCCAAAGCATATTAACTGGTGGTCAGGCTTGATACCACGTTCTTTCATTCTGCAAGAGGAGAATAAAAAAAATATATCATTCACTTTTCGATCAGCAAAAAAAATAGGCCAAATTGGTAGGATTAAAGCAATGTTATCCAGACCTAGTTGATAAAAATTTTCCTGATGCCGAAATGCGATCAAGCTTATTGATTCTTTGAGACAAGTGTCGGGTGCATGTTCAGTTTTATACTCTTCTTAGGAAGTTATCGGCTAAAAAAAGCTAATAGGCATGAAGCCACCTTCAGTACCAATATTGCCAGTCCAATTGTACGCATTGCTAGAAAACTAAGGGCAACCGAGAGCATATCTATTAAAATGAGGTACAAGACGGGCTGTCTCGGCGTCTCTTTCACTTAGTCTTCGCCCACAAATATAGAGGAGCTTCTGGGGCAAACGTTGTGTCCTAAAACTAGGACATGATACAAAATTCTTGCCAATTTGGGAAACTACCGAGCATATAATGGGTGACACATTGTCAGTTTTTACCAAATATACTACTATGGGGGTAATTAAAAACAAGTGCAGGCTTCAGTGGCTTTAAGCACTAAGAGATACAAGTTAAACAGGGTAGTGGACCTTAATACCCTATATATCCGATTAGCTGCTTCAACATTTATTTTTACTGAATTTCAATGAAACGACTCTAATATTGGCACATAACTATCCTCCTTTCTTTTGATAAAAAAAAGATAAAGGAGCACTTAGATAGAAGTTACCCCGAAATAAAAATAAAGTGGTGTTGGATGATCTCGAAACCCCCTAAACAGAAGAGAGGGAGAGAGAAGTACGGAGTTGATTAGCTTAATGGCTGTCAAATGCCTATCGTATTGCACTTATAAGAATATGATTTAGCCTTTAAAATTCGCTAATGGGAATAAGCGTGATTTACTAACAATTCGTTCAGAAAATCCAAGCTAATCTCTTCATATTTGAATAATCAATGTTGTCAGCACTCTCAATACACTTGAATGATGTACACTTTAGGAACATTTAATGAATCAAAATAAAAAAAAACATTTGTTTAATACGTAGCAAAAAATAAATGCAGTCTGTCCATTTACTCTTCCATAAACATCGAAATTTATATGGATTCTAGCTCTGCTCTAAGTAATGCTTGTAAGCATGAATAAAACAAAGAAAAACTAACCTTTTTATAGCATATTTTACAGAATCTTCATTATGCGTAGCTACCATTACTAAAACACGACCCCGGGGTACGCGTTCCATAGCCGACAAAAACTCTTCGAAACAGTCCTGGTACATCTTTGTTGTAGCTTCATAGGTGGGGTTAGTAGGGTCAGGATAACCCAATGTCTTCGCCCTTTTGCGTTCCTTTTAAGTCAAAAGTGGGGTAGCAATTGAAAAGGCAAAATATCTGAAAAAATACATAATTAAGTACTTACCTGTTCGATATAAGCACCGCGAACAAGCTTGGCTCCAAAGAAAAAATCGTTTTTTTCAGCAAAAAGCATATCTTGTCGAAATTCTTTCAGGGCGTTCTAAAGGTGAAAAGAGGACTTTCAATAACATGGACTAACAAACCTTGAGGTAGCACTGATAAGTGTTGAAGATTGTACAACACTCCTTGTTAAAGCGATGCATCATTTCCACGGTAATTCGACGAATTGCGGGCTGGAAGTAGCTGTGTTCGGCATCTACCATTAACCTCACTCCTTTTGATTTTGCATACTAGTTTAATGGAAGTAAATAAGGATGAAATATCTTAAAAAGACAAGACTGGAAAGATTAAGCACCTGAGCGAGGTGGTCAATACGATGAACCATATTCCTAATTTCTTCGACTCCTTGTTCCGTGAGTGTCGAAACCAACTGTTCAGTTCTACCAATCTACAATAAGATTAATTGTTTCAAATTGCTTAAGAAACACTTAGATTTAAAAAAAGCCTTTAAAATTAACCTCTTTATTCTTGATTTTAAAAAGTTCTGCAAGATCACGCTCGAATTGTACGAGATGGTTCCAATCAAGTAGATTAGTGATCCTAAAGGAACTCAAAGTCAATCTTCTACTTACCCATCGCCAGATCTATCAAGAATTGCGAGACATCCTGTTGATTGATCGCAACCCATTTCAACGCCCAGAATTTCGAGGCGCTTCTGGACGTTTTCAATATCAGAAGATGCAACTGACGGAGGGGTATGGTGCCCTGGTTTAGTTGTATCCGATAGAAGATTAAAGAAACGTTCCACTTGAACGAGAAATTCAGAAAATTGGAACTAAAGAGTATGGAGGAATTTAGCACAATCATACCAATGATTGGGGTTTGCCCAGAGCTGTCAGTTTAATGACAGTAAAAGCATCATTCGCAATAGCTCTTGCAGAGGCATCAATGCATTCCATTAAAATTTTTAAGTTTTCGTCATATTGGCCTTTGGAGCTGTAAAGACTTGTTCGAGAGGAGATAATATTCTTTTGTCTATTACCAAATTCAATAACCGGTTGATTTTCATTATTTATTCGCTTACTAGAATCATCAGACAATTCTAAGGATTCATACAACGTTCCCCTGGAGATATCAATCAAAATTTTCGGGGAAAATCACAAATCAAGAGCAAAATAATCAAACATTAAAGGTAATAAAGAGTAAAAACTATTGAACTAACTCGAGTTTTTTGACAGTATCTGATTCCAGATCTTCTTTTTCGAAGCCATAATCAAGTATAGATTTAACATTATATCGACGGTAGCGTTGAATCAAAGATTGAATTTCTTCCTGATTTTCTCCAGCAACAAACTGGCCATAAAACGTACTCTTCATAAGTTTTTTGAAAAGCGTTGGGCCGAGAACTTTTCTTCCAAAGCCCATTAGCTAATAGAGATATAAATAATCGTAAAGAACTAACCTTCCTATTGTTTTTAACAATGAATGGGTACGAGCATAAGCGAAATACAATGGATGATCGAAGTAGCTCTGATGTTGATATTGCAGCAAATGAAACTTTTGGATCGCGAAAATTTACAAACTCCGAACTAGATTTCTTTTCTTCTTGTGGGACGCTAGTGGAAAGACTTTTTGACGATGCTGCAGACGCATAAGCATAGCCACTCCGGACACTTTTGATAAGGCTGACTGGGAGGGAACAGTGCAACATTCGGAGGCGATGCTTCGGAGGGTATTCTGTAAACGCGCTAAACGCTTATATATGCTTTAGCGGTGAAGATAAACATACAAAGTTTTTACCCACTCAGGATGTTATTTGAAAAATAAAAATTGTTTCATTGTCTAATTTCGTTTTCATATTTTTTATTTCATATTTTTTAAATGGATTGTCATTTATGCATATTTCTGAGAAAATGAATATCAGGTATTTTGAATCAGATTTATTTGACAATTAAGTTTTAAGTCATTTTGTTTCATTTAAGACATCTTTATAATAATTCATGTAGTTTAAGTTCCCCAAGGTGTGCAAACACATTGTTAAGGCTTAAACACTTTTTTAATTATATCAAAGTCCATTAGAATGGCAATATTTTATACACCTCATAAACAACACATTATGAGCAGAATTTAAATGAAATGGAACCATCTTGATCTTTATTTTTATTTTGTATTAATTCCAGCCACTATTGTAAACATCGCTATCTCTACGTGCCCATAGTTGTTATCAATTCATTTTCTGAATTTGGCAATTTCATGTACCACCTTTTGCTGAAATGTTTAATTGATTTATTTAAGAAAATAGTATAAAGCTCACCAGCAATGACGATTTCACAACGATCAAAGCCAAACAAGTTTTGTTTCTCAAATTACTGCTCATTACTCATTTCGTTACATCTTATAGTTCTTTATAAAAATTAATTAAATTATAAATGAATTAAAAATTGTGTCTTGAATATTTCTGACGCACCCGCTACGATCTTTTCACTAAATTCCATCAAAATTCTGCCAAATCTCAGGTTTAACTGTTACTTCTTAGACATTTCCTACTACAGAGCCATTGATTTGATCAAACCATTATTCACTCCCATTCTCTGCGATAAAGAGATGGTATTTCGTCCACAATAACGTTGCAATGTATTTATTTCTTTAAAACTCACACGCCTGTTTGGCAAGTCCAAACAATTTTTTACTTATATAATTGATCGACTTTAATTGAAAATTCATCTGCATGGATATCTTCAAGCATCTCTATGTCCAAGCGGGGGGAGGGGGGTGCGAGATTGACTTACCTCCACGTGGTGCACCCTGGACAACGTATCCTCCTACGGCAAAAAAGTCCATCACTCGCCATTTGATTTGACTTTGATTTATTATGATTAGCTTGAAAAAAGGCTATAAGAGAAATAGCCCTCGTCAGGGCGAATCACAACGTCTTCAGATCCTCCAGTGGAATGCTGGAGGGATGTCACAGGACAAAAAGATCCAAGTACAGAAAATCCTACAAACCTATAATGTAGACATTTTCACAATTATGGAAGTAAACACTTCGGATGACAAACTGAAGTGCTACCAGTTCCCAGGTTACACCCTATACCTTCTACCTAAATACCGGCAAGTTGCAAGTGGAATTCTAACTGGAGTAAAAGAAGACCTCACCTCACACTACGATCTAATCAAGAGTATGGGCTCGACACAAGACATATGCGAAATAGTCGGATTAAATGTTTGGAAATGTCAAAACCAATTCAAGGTATATGCAGTCTATAATCCACCCCAGAATAGTCCCAACTTTGACTTTCTGAACATCTCACACAAAACTGTAGTATTAGGAGCCACCAAATGTGGCTAAAAGGTTACAAACATAGCTGGAAAGGAAATTGAAGACATGCTAAACAGCAACCCTCTGGAAATTATTAACAGCAATGAGGATCCGGCTACATATTTGCACTACAATGGAACAAGAACAACTCCTGA